GAATCCGGCTTGTATTTTCAAACCGGAGACATGGCGCGATTCCAAAGGTTGTTTCGAAATGAAATTCTACAGACCCTCTGTTTCTGCGACTAATTTATCTATCGCTGCATCCGTTGTTGCTCCGGCCAGGCTCGATCGCTTGACAAACGCGTGCTTTTAGCGTAATTTCCCCGAGAACAGGCTGCTGATAATTCTGATAAACAAGCAATGGAATTGCTGGGAATTTCTGCGAAATATCCAACTTATCAGCTAAAATTGTAAAGACTGTCGAGAAACGAGAGAACACTTTACTAAATGACATTGCGGAGTGTTTTAAAAGATATCAAAAATGTTTTGAAACTTTATTATGTCGAGAGAAATTGAACAAATAAATGAAAAATATACGAACACGATCGCTTTGAGAGGAAAGAGTCTTTAGATTAATAATAGGAAAAGTCTTTCGATTTAATTAAATGATTTAATCGCGGTGTTTCACCAATGCACATATTTTATATTTATTTTGATAGACAATTTAGAAACGAACCACACTGACCATGGAAAATATTTTCTGAAGCACTCCGTTTTCAGAAAAATCCTGATACAACTTTGATTTCCTTTCGTAGAACAAACACAAGTCTGGATGATTTTCTCTGAAAAAATAAAAACTCCTCCAAAACGAGGAACCACGGTGTATCCGTGATTCACAAAAATATTGTACGGTTTATATGTTTTAGCGTGTGCCCCAATTTTTTAACTATATCTCGGAGCTTATTCAAGATTAATTAGAGACTGAATAATTCATTCACGGATAAATTCTGCGAACATTCTCAACAGAAACATTAACATTCGAAATGTCCGCTGGCATTTTAACTTCAAACGCACGTTCAAATTTAACGTATTGACGTGGAATTCTCACTTTTACAATATTATCAATTCGTTGTCGGCGAACCAATTAGTTGGCCGAAATCGAACGAAAGCCATGGAATCGGTCACGTGCCGATGCATAGACATCATTGGCTTAGTTGCACGTGTCACTAAAGCCTGTGAACATTCAGAATTGACGTCACGGGGGTTTCTGCGATCGGTGGTCAACGTCCACGCTGACAACGTGCCGTTAATTAGCCAGCCTTATAATCATTACAACGATCGATCCGCGTTTCAGAGCGTATTGAACCGCAAAAGGTGATCGTAAAACCCCCACCGTCGTTTTCGCGCAATTAATTTCAACAAATTCCGTACGCTGCTACCATCATCATTACCACTGATGGAAGCAATAATTTGCAACAGCGTCGTTGCTGTAATATTTCAATTTC